TATAACCTTATAAATTGAAAACATTTTTAAAACTGTTCTGAAATCCCTTAATGTTTTTTATTGAAAATTAAAATATATTTTAGGCCTTTAAAACCATTATTATCTGGGTGACTGTCTCCTGCTTATCTTCTGTCCTCTCTCTGTCTCTGCGTCTCTTTACCTGTTTCCTCTCCCCGCTCTCTTCCCTTTCTAATAAAACTTCTCACTTACGCTGTGTCTGCCTAGCATGTTTGTCCCTCTACCTCGGTCACCCTTGCCTGCCATGGAATCCTCCAAGTTCCCCCGTGAGATTTACCCTAACATTAACCTCTTGTAGGAGACAGATCTGAGCGATCATGGCCCAGGAATGTGTATTTGGGTCTCCCCAAAACACAATGTTCCAATGTGGAAACAGCTTCATGCTTTTGTTTTGTTTTGTTTTTGAGACAGGATCACTCTATGAGGCTTGGCTAGCCTGGGACTTTTTTTTTTTTTTTTTTTGGTTTTTCGACACAGGGTTTCTCTGTGGCTTTGGAGGCTGTCCTGGAACTCGCTTGGTAGTCCAGGCTGGTCTCGAACTTACAGAGATCCGTCTGCCTCTGCCTCCCGAGTGCTGGGATTAAAGGCGTGCGCCACCAACGCCCGGCTTAGCCTGGGACTTTTTATGTAGACCAAGCTGCTATCAAACTCAGAGATCTGCCTGTCTCTTTCTACAGAGTTTTGGGATTAAAGGTATGTGCCACTAAGCCTTGAAAAATTTTATAGAACAAAGAAATGGAGGCATTTTTGTGCAGGGCATGGTAGCACAAGCCTTAAATTCTAGCAGAGGCAAATTTATCTTTTGTTCATAGCCAGTTAGGGTTACCCAGTGAGACCCTTTTCAAAACAAACAAACAAACAACAACAAAGGCATTTAAAAATACTTCAGTGGAGCCAGACATTGGTGGCACACACCTTTAATCCCAGCACTCAGGAGGCAGAGGCAGGCGGATCTCTGTGAGTTCAAGGCCAGCCTGGTCTACAGAGCGAGTTCCAGGACAGCCTCCAAAACAATACAGAGAAACCCTGTCTCTAAAAACCAAAAACTAAAACCAAAACCAAAAAACCAAAACCAAAACAAAACAAAAAAAACTTCAGTGGAAACATTGATTGATCAGTTAGAGCAGAGGAATCTTTTTTTTTTTTTTTGGTTTTTTGAGACAGGGTTTCTCTGTGGCTTTGGAGGCTGTCCTGGAACTCACTTGGTAGTCCAGGCTGGTCTCGAACTCACAGAGATCTGCCTAGAGCAGAGGAATCTTATCTGTAAGCCTCAGGTGTTATCTGTTAGCATTCTTAGATAGAGTTTTGTTAAGTTAATTTAAAGGGTTTTTTGTTTGTTTTTTGAAACGGGGGGGGGGGGCAGCCTGCTCTACGTTGTCAGTTCCAGGACTGCCAAGGCTGCACAAAGAAGCCCTGTCTTGAAAAAGCAAAAATAAATCTCCAAAGATGATGATGTGTGTGTATACAGGTGTGTGCACCTGCAAGAGGGGGTCACAGGACAGCACTGGGGGTTGGTCTTCAGACACCATCCATCTTTTGTTGACAATAGAGTCTCTCACTAGGCTGACTGGCCAGTGAGTCCCTGACTGCCTCTTCAGCACTAAGATTACTACTGTGTGCACTGAAGTCCAGCTTCTTTTTTTGTTGTTTTTGTTTTTTACTAGACAGGGTTTCTCTGTATTGTTTTGGAGGCTGTCGGTCCAGCCCAGCCTGGAACTCACAGAGATCTGCCTGCCTCTGCCTCCCGAGTGCTGGGATTAAAGGTGTGTGCCACCACTGCCCGGCCTGAAGTCCAGCTTCTTAAAGTGTATTCTGCCAATCAAGTCCATTATTATCTCCCAGGCCCAATCTATATTATACAAGAAAAAAACTGTTTTTTTTTAAAAAGATGTATTTATTACATATGCAGTGTGTTCTGCCTACTTTCCAGAAGAGGGCACTAGATTGAATTGTAGATGGTTGTGAGCCACCATGCCGTTGCTGGAAATTGAACTCAGAACCTCTGGAAGAGCAGCCAGTGCTCTTAACCTCTGAGCCATTTCTCCAGCCCAAGAAAAAACTTCTTGAGATGGAAGAAGAGATTTCTTTTTAAAGGCAGTGGGAAAGACAGCCATGGGTGCTGGCAACCGAACTTTTTTTTTTTATTGTGAGCCTAGCCTTTAACAGCTGAGCCATCTCTCCAGCCCAAGAAGAGATTTCTGTAAAAGAGATTTCATTCTCATCTTGGAATGGCAGCTCCTGCCCATAATCCCATCACACAGGAGGCAGAAACAAGAGGATCACAAGGGTTCCAGGTCTGTGCTTAAAAAATTCATTGTCAGAATGGCACATGACTTTAATCTGGTACTTGGGAGGCAGAGGCAGGTGGATCTTTTTGAGTTCAAGGCCAGAGAGTTCCAGGACAGGTTCCAAAGCTAACGAGAAACCCTATCTCAAACAATATGAAGCACATTGCCCTCAAGATTAATGGGAAATTTCTGGACCTTAGAATCCATTTTAGGGTTCATTTTCTGCTGTGGGGCCTTCTTGTCTCTGTCATCATTGCTCCTCATGCCCTTTTCTTCACACCATCCCTTCTTCTAGAGGAGCTGCCTCTTTTCAATGCTTTTGCCCAAGAGCTCATTCTCTCTGCCTCCCATGTTTATTTCTCTGACATGGGGACAGACGTTCCCTCGTGTCCTCTATCATTTCCACTCTGCTGCCTCCGGTTCTTATTTGTCCTGCTCCCCCTCCACATGAGTGTAGGTGTGTATACAATTATGTAGGAAGAACAGAGGCGGACATTTGGCATCTTTCTCAGTCGATTTCTAATCTACCTTTGAGGCAGGGTCTTTCATTGAAATTGGAGCTACAATGGTTGACCAACAAGCTCCATTGAGCTCCTGTTCCCATATGCCCAGAGCTGAGAAGCACAGTTTCCAGCCAGGGCCCACAGTTGTTTTTTAGAGTGCTCAGTGTCTGAACTCAGGGTCTCATGCTTATGTTGAAAGACCCCTACCCAGGACCCCCTAGGAAAAGAAAAGCAAGGCCAGGCCGTTGCCTAATGAAAAAACCCAGACCAGGTGCCTCGCCCAGCTGGAAGGATGTCAAGCAGGATCTGTGGTCACCAGAGCAGTCATGGGACCCGGATAATAATTGCTGAAGCGTGCCGGGGTCTTTCATGAGGTAATACCAGGAAACTTAGTCCGTGGGAACTACGCCTGCCCCCAAGACGAGCCAATGAAATGCCTGTTACTATGCTGATACTTATGTAACCATTAAAATTCTATAAATATTGTACTCCCTACAAGCCCGGTATGCTCTGCCTGTGTACTCAATAAATCACCTCTTGCATTTGCATCCAGTGGTCTGGCCCCGATTCTTGGGCAAGAGGGTTTGGTTCAGTGCCCGTCACTTTGATGCCAATGTCTTTCAATGTGTGGCAAACATTTCACTGACTGAGTCGCCTCTCCAAGTCACTCTTTCCTCCTGTAAAAGATTTTCATACCACATGGTATAATAAGGGTTGTCTCATTTATGCCTCACAACCACCCTTGGTAGGCTCTTCAAAACTCTCACTATACATTTATAAAAGAAAGCACTGGAAGGAAGATAAAGCCCAGTTACAGTAAAAAAAACATTGGCAATAAGTTAGTTAAGTAGAAACTGTAAACATTTTGGATGGATTGGATGGGACAGGTATTCTGACACTCCGGAGTCACAGAATACTGAGTGTTACACAGCTCATATGGAAAGGTATCCTGGAGCTTGGAAGCCAAGGACTACTACAGGTTGCAGTAAGCTTAGCAGCTTACAGTCCTGCCTCAGGGAAAGGCTTCACCAGTTTATCAGCTCCGCTCCAGCAGGAGAGGGTCTCCCAGCCGGGGGGAAGGGGGGATCTCCCAGCTGGGGATGTTTGCCCAGTGTAGCAGTTTTGCTCTGCAGGAGAAGGTCTCCAGTGAGAAGTTGCTACAGTTCAGCTCTGCTCCTGGAGAGCAGAGCCAAAAGAAGGTTTCCCCAGCAGAAGTGTTACAGCCCAGCTCGCTCTGTTCTGCCCAGGGTCGCCTCTGTTTCGCCACAAAAGAAGATCTTCACCCAAAGCTGGTCAGACATGTTTATTAGAAGGAAGCAGCTGGACCAGCCAAGCTGAACATACACAGGCTGTATATAGGAATTCTTGGGGTCAGGGTAAGTTTTTCCAGGGTAGGGATTGGTCAGATTTCAATACTGAGCTCACATTGGCTAGATATCCTGCTCGAGGATTGGTTAGTTTTCTGCACAGGGTTAGGGTCAGATTTGGCTCTGGTTTCAGGGCCAAAGTGTGTTTCTTTCTCTGGTTCTTTTAAGCCTTTTGACTCTAATTTTAATGCCAGGGTGTATTTCTTTCACTGACTCTGATTCCATGGACAAAGTGTGTTTCTTTGGCTCTGCTCAGGGTGTGTGTCTTTGGCTGGTCCCTTTTCCCTACAGGAACTAACAAAAAATATTTGTGGACTTTTTTTCTGCCAATTTGAGCCTGTTACTTTTCCTCTGAACAGTTCCCTGCACTGATCTGCAAATGAGCACAAACATATTAAGCCTTTGAGTTGTCATCTAGGATTCAGCAACATTTTTCATTTATAGCTAAAATGTTTTGGTGAATGCGGTACATTTTCCATCGACCAAACAGGAGGAGGCTTTCTCTATACTGATAATCAAAAAGTATCCGACAACAACGAACACTTCTGGGGCTCTAGGTCCTGAGAATTCCTGTAGTAGTTTATAAGTCAAAGTCCTTAGTTTGCAGTGAAGACTACTTTTCCCAGTGTGCATCTCGCTTGCCGCAAGGACCGTGTCAGCAATTGCTAACGCGCAATGCATCATGGGGATTGTAGTCCATGGAGGCCCAACCGCTTCAACTGCCCGCCAAACAGCTACCGGAAGTACCGGCCCTGAGGGGTGGAGTTGAGCAAGTGGCGGTGGCGGCGGTTGCCAGGATCCCGCGTTGCCGCCTGAGGGACCCGTAATATGGCGGGGAGAAGGAGGAGGAGAAGGCGGCGGACCCAGATGCGCTCTGCCTGAACCGACGGAGGCCTTTGCTTCTGAGGGAGGTCGGTCCACTGGCAGAGAAGCTGACCAGGCGGTGGGTGTCAGGTGAGTGAGAGAGGACCGGTTCGTCTCTCCACCGGTCCAGGCTGAGCTGAGATCGGGGCAGGCGGCATTGGTGTCTCGCGGAGCAGAGGGCGGGCGTTCTGGCCGGGTTTGGCTTCCCTTGGCCACGAGCCCACGCAGACACCTAGGATGGTGAGGCTGGAGATGAGGACCGGGGAATTCGAGGGGATGCTTGGATGTTGGCTCCGCCTCCGCCCAGTGAAGCATCCCTCATTGAGGAATAGGCATAGGACATGGGGTTTCAGTTTGGCGCAGGAGAGGCTTGGGCTTTTCTCTTGGTGCGGGCGATGGAGGTGTCCCCCAGGGTGTGCACTGGCCATTTTTGAACGTTGGTTACCACAACCAAAGGCTCTTAGAGTACTGTTTACTCCGCGTTTGCCACTGTGGGGCATCAGCACGAGGATAGTGAAGCTCGTTCTCCCCAGCACCCCTGCTGCTGCTGCTAGGTGGTTCCCACCCTTTGCTTCTTCCTACCCTTCTCATTCGGATTCCAGCCTTCTCATCCCCTCTCTCCCCGATCTAGGCGTATGACAGCCAGCTAGAGAGGATTTAGCCGAGGAAGCCCTTATCCCCTTTTTCATGTTTTCAAGTCACATTTTAATCTTAGCAAAAACCAAACATTGCCTTTCTTCAGGAGTTCACACGCAGGTAATAAGAAATCACCGTTATCCCCTCATTCAAAAAGTAGATCCCACGTCTTGATGTTTTCTACATGTCCTACATACAGTACTGCTGATTGCTGCCTGTGCCTTAGCTCATTGGCTTCTCATAAAATCTCTTTGAGACAGATCCCTACTTTTTACATAGGAAGCTGGGCTGCAGGGATGATGTTAGCTTACCACAAATGTAGCTAGCATGTGCCTAAATAAAAGATCTTTCCCCCTTTACTGACTCTATGAGAAATTTATGTATTTGTGGAAACTTAGTGGTAAGCAGCCAGCTCCGAAGCTGTGTTGTCTTTGCATTTCCCTTCAGTGACATTTCTGGCAGGGTGTTATGAATGAGCAGATAGGAGTTATGATTCTACAGGGTTTTCCAAGAGGCTCATTGGACTAAGGTCGGTTGCACTCAGGTATAAATGGAGTAGACAAGGCATGTCTGGACCTGTGGAGGCTGGTATGAATGTAAGTGGACCATGGACCAGTAATGCCTGATAGTAAAGTATGGGGCAGGAGATTTATGGTTGGGATCACCTTGTCATCAAGACACCCTTAAAATAAAACCTTGCTTGCAAGTGGTAACTGTGGTGTGAGACATGTAGTGCCCTCTTGCTAATTATGGAATCTGGACTCACTCTGACTTTTTTGTTTTATTTTGTTTTGGTTTGGATTTTTGAGACAGGGTTTCTTTGTGTTACAGCCTTGGCTGTCCTGGAACTCACAGAGATCCACCTGCCTCTGCCTGGGATTAAAGGCATGAGCCACCACTGCCTGGCTGTACTCACTCTTTTTAATGGCTACTTTTGCAATTTAGAGGTACATAGTTCTCTGGGAATACAGTTGTTCTCAAAGCTGCCATTCTCGAAATTCACTTCATTCTGCTGGTCTTACTTTACAGTGTTGTTTGATCTATTTGCCCTAATTAATTTAGTCAATAATTGTATTAAGTGCCTACTGTGTGCTGACACCATTCTGTGTCATGGGGATTCAGTGAGCAGGACTCAGAAGGCACTTGTTCTTTTGGAGCTTACATTTTGGTGGCAGAAGACACACAAAACTCAAGGAAATAAGCAATATCATTTCACATAGTGGTAAGTTCTATAGAAACTGGGGAACATCAGGGTAATATAACAGTGACTGAGGCAGGGGAATTAGGATTGGATGATTGGAAAAAGCCTCTTAGAAGAGGGGACGTCTAAGCTGAAACTGATGGGTAAGAAAGGTCCAGTCATGTACCAATCTTTATGTTAGCACTGGAGCTGGAATGTTTAATTCATTGTTGTATTGTAAGTTACTCTGTTTCAGTACATTTGCAATGTATAGGGTATGCATAGACCACTCAAGGGATGTGAATAACTTTCTGTAACAAGTTATCTATGATATAAGATAAATAAAGCTAACAAAGGAAGTTTATGCCCTTAATTTTAATTTTCCCAGACTTTTACACTTGATTTCTTGTTTCTTGTGCATATGCACAGAAATTATATCACATTTTTTCCTCTAATGATGAAAAATAAAGGATGTGTTGTTAAAAAATAATTTAGCAGAAATAGATTTATTGAGATTTGTCTTATGTCACAGCTATTACACATTTTGGCTAAGATATTGAGTTATGAGTTGTTAAAACAATTGTACCATAAAGTGTTTTGTTGTTTTTTAGTTCTTTGAAATTAATCTTGCTTTGCATAAATGGAACAGTTATAAGCAACAGACTGGAGAGAAGTTCTGTTGCTTGGGATTGCAATAGCTCCTGTTTTTCATGACCTTCTCAGAACTCTAAGTGCTTTGTCTTCATTTCTAACTGCACTCCTGTTTTCCCCCACTCTTTAGTATGAGATGTTGTTTTCTTTTGGGGGGGGCGTGTGTGTTGAGACAGGGTTTCTCTTTGGCTTAGGAGGCTAAGTCTTGGAACTAACTCTTGTAGACCGGGCTGGTCTCAGATACGCCTGCCTTTGCCTCCCCAGTGTTGGGATTAAAGGCGTGCTCCACCACTGCCCGGCAAGTTTATATGTTGTATAACTTAAGTCTTCAGAGGCCCAGCAGGGCACCATGTTCTTTCTAATTTCATGTCTGCATGACCCGCATCATGAACTGAATTTCCCTGCTCAGTCTTTGTCTGTTAAGTAGTTACTTGCCTTAAAATGAACATTTAACTGGTATTATTGCACTGGGCATTCTCTTTCTACAGTTTACTGGGTCCCCAGCTTGTTATGATCATGACAATGTTCCTTTGTTATTTTCCCTTGCCTTACAGGAGCCAGGGCTGTATGATGTTATACAGAACAGGCAGTCAATAAATACTGAAATAGGCACATGCTAGCTAATCCTTCTGGTTACCTGGGATTTTCATAACGTCAAAGTTTTCTAGAAATTGTAAAATTACTGGGCTGATGGTTTTAAGTTGCTTGGTGATCTTTCAGGTTTTCAACTATAAAATAAAATTAATTCTAGAGTCAATAGATTTTCTGTTTTCTACCCCTGCCTGAGTTGGTTGGTGTCCATGGCATCAAAATATGAAACCTTAAGATACACAAACAAAAACCAGGAAGGCTAGTTCTAGGACTTACTTGTGAATTTTAGGAGTGTTTAACTACTCCATTCCTTCTAGGTCATAAGTAATATGTGCCTGTCAGCACACTAGTAATAGCAGTTTTCTTTTGCCTAGCGTGACAGTGGGAAGATGGAGGAGTATGAGAAGTTCTGTGAGAAAGCACTCACACGAGTTCAGGAAGCATCGCTGTCTGCAGAGAGCTTCCTGCCTGCCCAGGCACAAAGTGTCTCACTCATCCGCTTCCACGGGGTGGCTGTGCTTTCTCCACTGGTAAACTTACGAATTATTTGTTTGTTAAAGATATATTCCATTCTTAAATATGTTTGCACATGGGTGCAGGTGCCTGAGAAGACCTGAAGAGCATATCAGGTCTCCTGGAGCTGGAGTGATAGACTACATAGATGCTTTGAACTAAACTTTGGTCCTCTGGAAAGCAGAATGCTCCTAACCAGAGTCATCTCTCCAGATCCCCTATTTGCTTTAAAATGACTTTTAAAATCTAGTGAATGATTACTGAAAAATACGTGGATGGGAGGTGGGCAGGGCCCTTTTAGACGGGAACATAGTGAATATGCACAGGTGGTGCTCTTAGTGGCTGCAGCTGAGGACATATCCTGTCAAAACCCCAAGGAGAGGCCAGTACAGATGCCTGAATACTAACAAGTTTGTTTATTTTGGCAAGCAGTTTGGCTGTGTTTATCAAAATTTAAAAGTGTCTGTAACTTTTGACTCAGCAATTCTATTCAAGAAGACTATCTTATAGATGTATTCAAAGAAATATGTGTAAGTTATAACAACATCATTTAAAAAAGCAAAAGACTGATTGCCAACCTAAATATCGATTAATAATGGAGTAGTTTAGCCATGTCCATTATATACATTTCGTGTACTCATTAAAGTGAATAAGGTAGATCTAAAGTACAACCATGGAAGGCGTCCTGCGCTGCTGCAGATGGCATGCTTGGAGACGCAGCTGGGGTAGTGGAACCTGGCCTGGGTTTGAATCAGTTTTTTCATTCTCCTGCTGGCCAGAACTTGTGGTCCATTCCACTAACTGTTAAATGGGAATACAGATAGTGAGTGCTGACCTCATGATGCTTTTTGGGAATTAAATGAATGCATGCAAAATGCTTAGGCTAGTTCCTGGATCATAGGTGGCATCCAGTATATGTTAACCATTTGCAATTTTAAAAAAGTATGGTATATTCCTTCTCTGCCAAGGGGTAAGAGAATAGAGGTTAGTAGAGAAGTTATATCTATCATCATAGACACTCTGATGTTATTTTTTCAATGTGTGACCATGCTTTCAATGTGAAAGTTAAACTAGTAATAAAAATGTATTTTTTTTGTATAAGCATGTAAAGATCAGTATTTTCTGCCAGTGTTTTGCAGTGAAAGTAGTAAACCTAGAAAGGCTAGAAGGTAATATAGTGACTACCCATCCTCTACTCCTTAATACCCGCCACCTACTACTGTCCATCTTAAGATGAAACCTTTGGACGTTCTAAAGGAAGTAGAGAGGTGACATGTGCCCTGACAGGAAGGGTAAAAGCTGAAGAACCCCAAGCCAGAGATCAGAAGTCAGAAACTGTCAGACAAGAAGGTCAGCAGCAGCTCCAAGGGAAATTTTTGTCTGTCATTTAAAGTATTTGAGAAGTAAGCAACCTTATTCCTGTGAGCTTGATTTTCAGTTGGCAATAAGCTACCTCCAGTGATATGCACTGACCATACTTGACAGAGCTCCTGGATGTGGGTTACATCTGTGTGACACTCATGTGATGTCCTCACACCCCAGGCACTGGTTGGATGGTTTGCATAGGGTTGTGGTTGTTCTGATTTGAAACTTGCCTATTTGATGCTTTTACCATTGAATTGCATGTTTATGATGCCCTGCAGCTTACCATTGAGAAGAGAAAGGAAATTCAGCAGGAAAAGCAGAAAGCGCTTGATGTACAAACAAGGAAGCAGGCCAATAGGAAGAAAGCTTTACTGACTCGTGTCCAGGAGATTCTTGAAAATGTCCAGGTGTGTGAGTAAACTCTTTTAGATTGAAATGAAGACATAATGAAGTAAACATTGATAACAGCTTTTCAGAAAAGCTTACTAAATGTTAAGTATGCCTTATTGTTACATTACGTTCGAGTATAATTTGTTGGAGAGAATCCATTTGTTTGTTAGTACTGCCCAGTACTTGAATCGGAGAGGGTCCTTAGACAGTGGTACTATACACTGGGTACAATTGCTTATTGTCTGTCTTGTGACTACAAACATTGAATTCTCAGTGTCAGAGATGATAGAATTGCCCATTGTAGTTAACCCCTGAAGTAACCAGACAATTTAGTAAAGACCTTTTAGTAAGGACCTTCTTATTCTCTGCCAAAGTAAATAATTGCCTTCAAATTATTTGGGGTGTATGTGTATGTGTACATGTGTGAAACTTTTGCTTTTAGATATGGTAAACAAATAGGCTGGCCTATATTTTATATATATATATATATCTCCAGACCCAAACTGAAATCATTTAAACAACAATATCTACACCTTTTATAATTATTTTTATTTAGATTCATTCAGATTTATGTAAACAATTTGTTTAAGGTTTGGGTCATTTCATACTAAAAAGAAAAACCAATGATTTAAATGGAACAAGTAAATCTGCCATACATAACAGTTTTGCTTTTTCGTAGTTTTCAGGGTTTGTAGTCTGCCTCTGTGACTCCTGCTGGATGACTGTGGTAGTAAGCCTTAGGTTGTTTCCACTAATTGCTATGTTTCCCCATGGGGTTTTATGTAGTGTGGGTAGTAGATTTTAATTTGCAGATTGTAACTACTGTCTATATTTGTTAATGTACAGTAGTTTATTGACTTACTGGATGTTTCCTGTTATTACAACCAAAATGGCAGAATGTTCTGGATCTAGTCCATGGAGAGGATCACATTGCTATTAACAAGTTATGCTAATGAAATTACTCTTGAGTCCCAAAACTTTCTGTTTAGAAAAGCGTACACAATGCCAACTGTAATGGATTTCTGCATAGACAGGGATTTCATGGAATACAGATAGGTTGAGAGGGTCTCTTCTTTGGGGGGAGGGAAGGGTCTCTTTTATCTATGAAACCTATGATTTAGTTATAGATTAATTTTTAAAATTTAGTTTGTCTAACCTAAGGCCCATTTTACTGGTATATAAAAAACATAGCTATTGAGTATCAAAGGTATGAACTGTGTAAGATTTTATATAGTAGAATAATCTGTTTTGCTTAAACCTGGGACTATGTCCATGGATTCCAGGCATATGCACCCCTTTTGGTTTATTTTTGTCCTGAGGTTATCACCAAGTATACTTGTATTGTTTACTGCACAGTACCTGGAGACCATCATGTGTCCTGGGACTTATAAGGTGAAACACAAGTGCCATAGTCTAGCAAAAACAAAACAAAACAAAAGCCCATAGAAAGTAGACGTTCCAGACTTTTAGTATTTAGAATGTAACGAGCTCTAATTTATTTTTTCTGGTTGCTCTCTGAGGTATACAGTTATTTTCATCCTAATGTGTCAGCTGTTGGCCTACTTGTTTGAAAACATACAGCTTGCTGACTTCACTTACTGTCCATTGATCTAATTAAAGTTGGCTTTGTAAGCTGAGTTCTCAGTGGAAATTTTCTAATTTCTCAGTAGCATAAACTACATGGATAAGCTATTATTTACAGCAGAAATACCTCATTTTATGGGGAGTTTTTTTTTTTGGTTTGTTTTTTAAATCAAACTTTTTTTCCCAGCTAGTACACACAGAAATCTCACAGAGAGAAGCACCGTCTGTAATGTAGAGGTGGGGTGGTGGTTTCAGAGAGCCAAAGCTCCTAAAATATTTTTTGCTTTGTTTTTGAGCAGGAGGGTCTTACTCTGTAGCCTTGACTGGCCTTGAATTTATAGAAGGTCAGCCTCTGTCTCATGAGAGCTGGGCTACATCTGCCTAAACTTTTTTTTAAGTCTTATTTTTATATTGTGCTTGCAGGTATATCATGTGTGTATTTGATGCCCATGTAAGTCTGAAGAGGGCATTGGATCTCCTGGAACTAGAGTTACAAATAGTGAGCTGCCTTGTGGGTGCTGGGAGCTGAACTTGGTGCTCGTACAAGAGCAAGTTTCTAAACTGATGAGTCATCTCTGTAGCCCCTTATTGGGAGTTTTTATTAGGAGATTATTGAATAAGCATATGGGACGCAGGAGTCTTGTTGTTATTATTTATTTTATTTTATTTTTTTGTTTTTTTCGAGACAGGGTTTCTCTGTGGCCTTGGAGGCTGTCCTGGAACTCGCTCTGTAGACCAGGCTGGCCTCGAACTCACAGAGATCCGCCTGCCTCTGCCTCCCGAGTGCTGGGATTAAAGGCGTGCGCCACCAACGCCCGGCTTTGTTGTTATTATTTTTGCTTAATCAGTGTCCTAGCCAAGGAAGTTTTTGTTGTTTATGAGAAGTAACTATGTAAAACATTTGCTTACTTAGTATTTATTGCATATGTTATTATTATTATTATTAGGTGACAACTTGTCTTAGAAATCGTTTATGGTGGTAGTAACCCACAATTAGAAGGAAATTAAATACATTGCTCCAATCCCAAGATTAAAATGAAAATGGATAAATTGTGTGCATGGGTGTGCAGACATACTTGTTTTAGAAGAGATAATTTTCTTTCTGCCTTTAAATAAATAGGCTAGGATAACCAATAAATTTATTTTGTAGATCGCCATGTAATTAAGGATATAGAAACTGATCTTGGGGTATATTTTATTTTTCTTTTGTCTTTTTGAAACAGTTTCATTCTGTAGTCCAGGGTGGTCTTGAACTTAAAGCAATTCTCCTGTCTTGGTCTCCTGAGTGCTGAGATGACAGACAGGAAATATCCTTTGTGTTCTCAAATATCAGAACTCTAAATCTTTCTTTCTGTTTTATTTTAGAAAACAATGAAATCAAAGGCTTTTTGAGGTAGGGCACAACTTTAATCCCAACACTTGGGAGACACAGGCAGGAGGATCTTTTTTTTTTTTTTTTTTTTTTTGGTTTTTTTTTCAAGACAGGGTTTCTCTGTGGCTTTGGAGGCTGTCCTGGAACTCCCTTGGTAGTCCAGGCTGGTCTCGAACTCACAGAGATCCACCTGCCTCTGCCTCCCGAGTGCTGGGATTAAAGGCGTGCGCCACCAACGCCCGGCCAGGCAGGAGGATCTTTAAGTTCAAGGTTAGTCTGATCTAGAGACCCCTGTCTAAAAACAAAACAAACAACTACAACAAGACCCCAAGCAAAGGCTTTTTAATATATATATGAAATAGAGAAATATTAATTTTTGTTTTGTTTTGTTTTTTGAGACAGGGTTTCTCTGTATTGTTTTGGAGGTTGTCCTGGAACTCGCTCTGTAGACCAGGCTGGCCTCGAACTCACAGAGATCCACCTGCCTCTGCCTCCCGAATGCTGAGATTAAAGGCGTGTGCCACCAATGCCCGGCGAGAAATACTAATTTTTAAACATCTCTTTTCAGGTTAGAAAAGCACCGAATGCCAGTGATTTTGATCAGTGGGCGACAGAAACTGTTTCCTGTAGTCCAGAATTTAGAGACTTGAATGCTCCTGCTACTGTTCCAAACAGCTTGCCAAGCCCCACTGAGGACTGCACTCCAGTAAAGCTTGAGAAGATAACTGGACTTTTGCCATTGGGGAATAAGGACCGACATAGCCCTAATGAGCTGAGCCTGTCCAGAGACTCCAAAGGGTCTGGTTCTCCTAAGCGGGGTGCAAGTCCAGACAGCAGGCAGACAGTAAATGGAGCTGCTCTGAGGCTGTCTACAGGGAGCTCACAGGAGACTCACATTTCTGACAGTCCCCTCTTAGCAAAGGAAAAACAGGACCCATCATGTTTGGCTGACATCACTCCAGATCCCTACATAATGAGCCTTCAGAATCTAATGAAGAAGTCAAAGGAATACATGGAAAGAGAACAGGCTAGACGAAGTCTGAGAAGTAGTGCAAAGAGAAGTGTTAGTGAAAGTCATTCAGACAAAGAAAACGATGCTGCTAAGGCAAGTGACTGTGTGAAGGAGAAGGCCCCACCCATGCCTACAGGCAGGCACTGTGGCTCCACCATCCCTGACAAACCAAGCCTTAATAAGTCAAATGTTCTCCTCCAAGGTGCTTCTCAAGCAAGCAACATGGGCACTTCAGTTTTAGCTAGCTTTTCCAAAGTGGATCTACCTGTAGGAACTGACTCTCCCGCTGTTCCAGATGTCGAGTCAGCTTTTAAAGTTTTCCCTACCTTTATTACTGAAAATAAAGGTATCAAAACTCTTACTGGTCCATATGCCAAATTACCTAGTCCAGAGCCAAGTGTGAGTCCTCCAATGCACCGAAGGCGGTCCAGGCCATCATCAGCATGTCAGATCCTTATAAATAACCCAGTAAATGCCTGTGAGTTGAGCCCAAAGGGAAAAGAAGAGGCAGTGGATAGAGTTGCTCCAGCTGCTGCTGAAGAAACAACAAATGAATCTGAAATTGTGCCAAAGTCACCAACTGATTTAACAGGAGTTTGTTCAAGCAAGGTTTCTGCCAGCAAAATCCTATTGGGTACCACAAGAGATACGGTTGTAGGTAAGCCAAGTCAGGTATATCAGGCATTAGGAAATCAATTAGACAATAAAGTCACTGTTGAGCATGCTGCTATGGAAGGTCCCATCATAGGTGATGAGAGGGAAATCCAGAAAGTTGACAATACTTGTATGGCTGTGCCCAAGTTGCATGAACTACACACCACTAGTCAGTGTGTAGCAAGTCAAGCCGTGGAAGATGTGTGTGGACTCAAGTCAGCCAGTATGTTAGCAAAAAACTCCTGCAATTTACAAATGGAACTAAATAAATCGTATGATGTAAAAAACCCATCTCCCTTACTTATGCAAAACCAGAATTCCAGACAGCAGATGGACACACCTCCAGTGCCCTGTGGAAATGAACAGTTTTTGAATAACAGTTTTGAAAAAGTTAAGCGGAGACTTGATTTAGATATTGATAGTTTGCAAAAAGAAAATTGTCCTTACATTGTAACAGCTGGAGTAGCTGAGCAGGAGAGGGACCATCTGCCAGAAAGAAGATACCCTAAAGGATCTGTCTGCATGAACAGGAATAAGATGCTAGAAACTAGCCCTAAAGGTAAAGAAATTTACAAGTGTTTGCTGCCTCTCAAGGTAAAATTTGTTGTTGTTTGGTTGGCTTTTTTCAAGACAGGATTTCTCTGTGTATCCCTGACTGACCTGCAACTTGCTTTGTAGACCAGGCTGGCCTTAAACTGAGAGATCTATCTGTCTGCTTCTGCCTCCCAAGTCCTGGGATCAAAGACATGTATCACCACCACCTGGCAAGGACCACGTTGCTCTTAAGATTTGGGGGGTGTGTATATGTGTGTGTGTGTGTGTGTGTGTGTGTGTGTGAGTGCACGCGCGCGTGCACAGGTGCCTGAAGGGATTAAAGGGCATCCAATTCCCTGGAACAGGTGGTTGTAGGCCATTTGATGTGAGTACTGAGAACCAAATCTGGGTCCTTTGGAGAAGCAGTGGGTGTTCTTCAGCACCGAGGACCGCATCTTAAAGCTAGGCAGACCTTGGAGACTCTTGGCTGCAGTGGTGAGAGCTGTGAATGAGTGGGAAGGTGAGGAGGTACCATCCTGTGTTTATTGAGTAGCATGAGAGACAGGGAGAAGCCAGTGAGAATGGTTTGCAATGGTGAACTGGCCTTACATTATGTGAGGGCCAGGGATACGTTCTGCTAAGAAGTGTAGTTCAGATTGATGGCAGAAAATATGAGCTGCTAGATTATGCTCGTCAGTTTTCTCTATGTAAGGATACATGTTTCTTTTCAGAAGGCCAGGAGGTACTAAAAATGAAGATGTTAGCTTTTGAAGAAATGCGGAAGAGACTGGAGGAGCAGCATGCCCAGCAGCTGTCACTCCTCATAGCGGAGCAGGAGAGGGAGCAGGAGCGACTACAGAGGGTGAGGCATTGAGATGTGGGGATGGACTAACCACCAAGAGTTAGCTGAAGCACCTGGAGACTGCTTCCTGCTCTGCATATCTTATTCCAAGGTGGTCATTGATCTTGATGTGTGGATACTATTTTATTGTCAGAATACAAGTTCAAGCAGGTCTTTACCTAAAAACAACTGAGTAATTTGTGAAAGGGTACCTTATTGAATCCTTAATTCTGGAATTCCTAGTATTTTTAAAGGTTTTTAAATAGATGCTGAATATATATTTTTCAAGAACAATATCATAAAAATACTTGTTTTTGTGATTATTATAGTCATACCTCATTTTAAATTCAACTTTAAAGCCTAACATTTTAAAAAAGTGAAATCAGCTGAACAAGTTGTAATTTTGAGGGTGGAAGACTTGAGATAAATAAGAATGTACTCTTCATTACACATACTTTTGGGATAAGCCTAAGTGACATAATTTAGGTAGCATTAAAGGATCTAGCATGTTGTGATGTGTGATCAATCTGTAGGAAATAGAAGAGCAGGAGAAGATGCTGACAGAGAAGGCGGTTACGGCGGATGTCTCTGACTTGAACAGTATGTTGGAGCTGGAGTGGAGAAAAAGAAGTGGTTCTGCTCTGCTAGAAACAGTGTTGTCCCAAGTGGACTTGCTCCAGGCTTCAGACAACTCTGGTAGATTTTAAACGTTGTTTTCCACTTGAAGTTATTGCGTAGTAAGCTATTCTTATTATACCTTCCTTCCAGTAGTTTAATGCCCATCCTACCCCTGTTTGCCAGCTGCTTAGTAGCTATGAAAAATGACATGATATCGGATCTAAGACCACAGAGCAGGTGTTCAGGAGACGCCTCTACCTTAACAAGGAGAACAGGCAGTTGGGCCCCAAGCCTAGCTGCTCATTCATGCGGCGGGTGACATGCTCAAGTGAGAACAGTTGATTATCTCCCAAGGGATCTGGAATTACTTCTGATTCCCCAGTAGCAGTAAGAGCTTTTCACAACATCAATTATCCTGAAATTCTATCTGTCTTAAAAGCTCCATCTGGCACAGAAGCTGAATGTCCATGGATATTTTAAGTCTGCGTTTGGGTCAGTCTCTGAGTTGACTGTTATTCATGGAGTGTTACAATGTTGATTGCAGTGTTTTGCATATTCTGATTATGTGGTATCCAATATGGGTCACTGTATTAGTCTGTACTGTATGTTTCTCTAGGCTTCACAAATTCTGCCCTACAACAAAGCTTTGGTTCTGCAAGTGAAGGACCATTCTACCTCTGGGGATCACTGACCAGTGGCGTGACCAAACTCTCAATAACAAGGCCTTTTGGAAGGGCCCAAGCTAAATGGTCTCAGGTGGGAAGCCTTGATATATGTCTATGTTGTTTTTTTCATGTTTATTTATTGGAGTGGGGAGTGGCACACATGCCACCGTGTGTGTAGTGTATAGAGGGGATCTTATGGGAGTTGGTTTTCTTTGTCCATCTTGTGGGTCCTGGGTGTTGGATTAGGTCATCAGGCCTGGTAGCTGGTGACTTTACCTGCTAAGCATGTCAACACACCAGTTGATCTTTTTAAAGAGTTACATTATTTTAGGTTTTGTATACTGAACACCACTTGATTTTTGTTTTAATTTATTTTTTATTTTTTATTTTTTTGCCATGTACTAAGCAGCTTAGCTTTTGGTACAGATGAAACTCTGGAGCAAATGTCTAGAGGGGAATTTGAGCTGGTGGTGATAGATTAAGAATCATAATTGAATATGGTGCTAGGATTCTTAAAGCATTTTCTCTAATTTCTTCTAGGTTTTTAGTCCAGAAATACAAGCAAAATTTAACAAAATAACTGCTGTGGCAAAAGGATTTCTTACTCGTAAACTTATGCAAACAGACAAACTGAAGCAGCTTCGACAAACTGTAAAAGTAAGATTGTTGGAATTCTGTTTTTCACTTAATTTCAGTCTTCTGAAGGCTGAATTCAGATCAAACCTGTTTAGTTATCATAATTTAGTTGATTTCATTGATTACTTAGATGCTTTTTCCAGATTATTCCCCCTGCCCCCCAGGTGTGTGTGTGTGTGTGTGTGTGTGTGTGTGTGTGTGTGTGTGTGTGTGTGTGTGTGTGTGTGTGTGCGCGCGTCCGATGAAGCTGCAGGAGAACATTAGGTATCATGGTCATTACTTTCAACCAAGACAGGGTCTCTGCCCAACCCTGGAGTTGCAGGCCACATGATTGTAACTGACATTTTTCATGAATGCAGGAGCTTTGAACTCAGGTCGTATCCTTGTACAGGACTTGTATCCTCTGAGCCATCTCCCGGCCCCTTCTGCACTCCTGAACTTGCTATTATGATTATTTGCATAAAATGTGTATAATGTTAGTTCCACCAATATCCTATTATGAAGATGGGAGGGACTTGTGGGTCTCTGCTCCTTCTTGAAGATTTGTACAATTAAAGGTTGTTGGAGAGGGAGAGACATTCTCTTCCTGGTGCAACCACTGACAGGTGTCCATGCTCTTGTAAGAAGCCCTAAAGAACTCCTTTGGCCACTAAAACAACAAGGCATGAAAGTAGGAGAGGAGCTAATGAGGAAAGGGAGAGGGGGTTAGTGGGAGGGGGATGGACCACCAGAGGGTGACAGTGATGTGATAAAAGAAATATTGGGCATGTATGAAGGTGTCATATTGAAACCCCAAATATATACAATTAATATATTCAAGATGGCTCAGTGGGCAAAGGTGTCTGCCACCAAGACTGACAACCTGAGTCTCCAGCACCCACACAGAAAAAGAGAACCAACTCCCAAGTTGTTCCCTAACCTATGCACATGCATTGTGGTACACATTGAAAAACAAAACAAAAATACCTCGGATCACATTTTGTTTTGTTTTTTGAGACAGGGTTTCTCTATGTAGCCTGACTGCCCTGGAAATCACTTTTTAGACCATGCTGGCCTTGAACTCAGACATCCCCCTGCCTCTGACTACTGAGTGCTGAGATTAAATGCATGTAGCACCACTGCCCCTTTTTTTTTTTTGAGACTGTAGAGATGGTTCATCAGTTAAGAGCACTGGCTATTCCTTTAGAAGACCAGGGTTAAGTTCCCAGCATCCACATGGTTGCTCATACCTGCCTGTAACTCCTGTTTCAGGAGGTTCTGATGCCCTCTTCTGGGTATCATGTGTGTTAAGGGAAAGCTTTTTCTTTGCTAGCCGCTTTGGTTTATCACCCGCCAGTCGCCTGGGCTCTGCCGAGTTGTAGTCCCCAAATAACACATAAGACGCTGTATTAATTATGAAGCTGTTGGCCTTGCTTGTTTCTTACTGGCTAGCTCTGACTTAAGTAATTACCCCATAATTGTTAATCTAAGTATTTCTCTTACCGGAGAATGGTTCCGGGCTTCCTACCCCCATGGCGTTACATCTTGACTCTCTTGTGTTTCTCCTTCCCAGAGTCCTCCTGGACTCCTAACCCCACCTATCTAGATTCCCTATAGGCCAGACAGTGCTTTATTGACATAAGACTTCCCCAACATCTCCTCTTTTCTGTTTAAACAAAAAGAAAGGTCTTAACTTTAACATAGTCAAATTGTATATAACAGAACAGTTATCAAGTAAGGACATAGTTACAATATTTTAGCAAGATTTAAAGAAAATATCATCTATCTCATTCTTGTGAGTCCAAAGTTCTATATGTAGCTTATCTCTTATCATAACTAAGGAAAACTATAATTATAGCTATCTGTCTTCAACTCTATCAAAGACCACAGAAGGATAATATATAAACACTAGGATCTTACTGCCTGGACAGTCACCCGAAGTTCCTCTGTAACGTTGGGGCATCCATCTTCAGCCCATAGGCCACAGTGTGTCTGGAACACTTCTCAGCAAAGCAGGAAATTTCAAACTGTCCATCTGCATCAGCAGTCTGTCAGTCATTTTTCTGTGTCCTGCAGAAAGTCCCGTAGACTCTTCCATGAAGCAGGAACCCTGTAAGACTGAGTTCAGCAGTCACTTTCCTGTGGGTCCTGCATGTCCAGATTATACAACAACAGTTTCTTGCCCAAATGGCTAATCTTGCCATGTTGAAAGCAAACTTCATAACAAGTTTCTTCGATGCCCATCTTCCTCTCAGACGTAATTGGTGCTGCCAGGAGCAGACATTTCTCATTGTCAAGAAAAACCCTAAACCATTTTAAATGCCATTTTCTGAAGGTCTTTGAAAGGTTTGAAGACTATCTGTCTCAAATACATCTCTATATATCTAGAAAACCTAACTTACCTAACTATAAATTCTGACTATTATAAGTAACTATCTATAGTCTGTATTCAATTATGCATTACGTTTTAAAAGATCAGTATAAGCACAATACTTAATCAAGAGGAGAACTATACATATCACAAAATTGACCTTGAATTTGTATCAATAAATGAAAAACAATACCCATAACATAATTCCCTTTTTTACCATTAAAAAAGATTGGCTGTGATCACTAGCCAATTATAAACAATCCCACTTAAATGAAAACAAAGATTTATAAACAAGATGGGAATCAGGACGTCGCTCATTCCAAACTGCTTCCTGCTGGAAGGGGGCGCTGTTCACACCGTGGGGATCATGACAAAACTTAGAAACCTGTATAAGTCCATATTTTCAGGTCTGTAAGGCTGCATCATCTTAGCTGTCTCAGTCGTTGGAACACCTGGTCTACTGCTTCCGGGGGTCTTGGTTCGTCGAACCACAGAAGCCTGGAAGGAATCCTCAGCTTTTCATTTTCTGTAGAAACATAAGTAAAATCTCCTTTCCCAAGTAACATATCCTTATACTTAAATTTTGAAGTCAAGGCATTTTCAAAAGATAGAAGTTGGATTAATTCAGCAGCATTTATAATCAAGTGTACTTTAGTTGTTCCTTAGCAATGAAAAAACTGAAAAACATAATAGCGTACAGTATCCAGACTCTTTTTGTATTTTCCATCTTCACGTGGCTTATTTATTTATCTTTATTTCTTTTACTTTTATTTATTTTTCTTTGAGAAAGGGTTTCTCTTTTGAAATCCGCCTGCCTCTGCCTCTGGAGTAATCCTACCGGCGTGCGCCACTACAATGCTGGCTTTTGTATTTATTTACCACTTTGCCGTTTCATTTTCTCTCTCAATCTCACGTATATTTTTAAACACACTGTAAACCTTTAGAAGTTTTGTTCATCCAAGTCTGTACTGTAAATCTTTACGTTTTTCTGGCCACGTGTCTTATCTGTAAAACCTCGGCTGTTTTAAACTGCCAGTTTTTTTTTTTTCCGTCAAGATGGCGGGCGTAAGTGTGACTCCAGCTTACCTCCTCAGTCCATGCTGACATCCAGCAAAAGCTGCCACTTCCAGCTGTAAGTACACACCTTTCAATCGTTAGCAGTAGCAGAGTCTCTTAAAACAACCTTGCTGGCTGGTTTTTTTTTTTTTTTTTTTTATGCAGAGTCAGGAAGACTCCCGTAAGCGAGCCGCGTGAATCTTGGCTTGTGGCTAGCAAAACAGAGCACACCTGAGAAAAATGTTGCTACCAAAATCTGTGCTTCTCTCTGTTCTTCTGTTTCTAAAATTCCTTTAAAGCTTTTGTTATTTTGCGTGGAAATTCATGATCCCACTCCTGATCACCATTCTGTTAAGGGAAAGCTTTTTCTTTGCTAGCCACTTTGGTTTATCACCCGCCAGTTGCCTGGGCTCTGCCGAGTTGTAGTCCTCAAATAACACACAAGACGCTGTATTAATTATGAAGCTGTTGGCCTTGCTTGTTTCTTACTGGCTAGCTCTGACTTAAGTAATTACCCCATAATTGTTAATCTAGGTATTTCTCTTACCGGAGAATGGTTCCGGGCTTCCTACCCCCATGGCGTTACATCTTGACTCTCTGTGTTTCTCCTTCCCAGAGTTCTCCTGGACTCCTAGTCCCTCCCATCTAGATTCCCTATGGGCCAAACAGTGCTTTATTGACATAAGACTTCCCCAACACATGTGCACACACTCATGCATATAAAAATAAACCTTTTTTGTTTTTGCTTTTTGAGACAGGGTTTCTCTGTAGCTTTGGAGCCTGTCTTGGAACTCACTCTGTAGACTAGGCTGACCTCCAACTCAAGTGCTGGGAATAAAGGTGTGCGCCACCACTGCCCTGCAAAATAAATCTTTTTAAAGAAAGAACAAGAGCATATTAATATAGAAGACCTAGGTTTATGTGTTAAGCTAGTACAAAGATAAAACAACTTTAATCATTTCAAATGCTTTGAGAACAAAACTAGTTCGAGAGGTGGGAAATGAAAGCCTCCATCTCAAGAGGCCACAGTAGGCAGGCTGCACCTAGACAAAGGAGCAAAAGTGAGTCTGAGCACCGTGCCAGAGGCAGGGCATGTGGTTGCACCTGCCAAGAGGCTCATGGAGATGCCTGCGTTAACTAATCTGGGCCCTGGGCTAGTAGAAGACTTCTGTGGTGTCCCTTTGGAGAAATAGAGGCTGAGGTGTTGGGCCTTTAGTCTTAGGTCCTCAGCAGGCATTTCTCAGCTCTTCCATGTCTCATAACCATCTGGTCCCTTTATCTCTTATGGTCCTGTGCAGTTCACCACACCAGCCTCTGGCACATGGAATACTCACACAGTAAAGGCAGGGCTGGTAGGCCTGCCCACAGGGGACCTGTGGACAGAAAGGTTTTTTGTGTGTGATAAGCTACAGATACCTTGTAGTTGAGTCACCTTTGTGAATAAGGGTTATCATTTCTTCTGTTGGTGACAACTTGATGCCTCTCAAGAAGGAGCTGGTGTGAACGAGTTTTAGAAAAGGACTTTAATCCAGGACTTTCACTCCTGAGTACGTGATGCTTTTGTTCTCTTCTACAAAGTACTTATTTATTTTTAGAGACAGCTCTCTAGCCCAAGCTGGCAGTCCTCCTGCTTCAACCTCTCAAGTGTTGGATCACAGATGTGTGCCACCATGTGCAGTCTTAAAGCACCACAGGTCATTTCAGTCCTCACTGGCATGCGCACACTGCCAGCAGTTGCTTCTCTGCTCCATCCCGCCCCAGAATCTCACAGCACATCTTCTTTCCAGTCCCAACTGTGCTGCTCACAGCCAAGACAGCACACCTTGGCTTGGCTTTGCTAAATGGGAAGTCACCCATAGGTTACAGCTGTAGGGCTGGCCCCTTCCATGTTTGTGTGCTTCCGAATTCCTCCTCATTGGTTATCTTCTTTGTCCTCAGCATCTGATACTGCAATGAGTATTGCCTCCAGTCCTGATTTTTATCATTATGAACAAATCTAAATTCAGCAATATGGTCAAGGTCATTGCCACTGCCTTCCTCTTCATCAGTATCAGAATTCTTAGATTCTCCAAATCTGACATGCACTACAACATACAAATGTTCTCACAGATAGGCCATTAACGATGGGTGTTCAAGTGACTGCTAAGATGGTTTAGACAGTGTAAGTCAAGTGGTCTTCCCTTATGGACAGGACACAGAAGGCTGCCTACAGCATAGCTTCATGTTTGCAGTCTCTCAGCATTCTGAGCAGGAGAAGCCTCAAAAAACACCGCAGCAGGAGGCAGGGAGACAAGGTGGGATATAGGGGCTGCTGCTGTGTCATCAGAAATAGTTTTGTGCTCTTAGTAATTTTTGATGGTGAAAGAGAATAAAAGGAAACTGCAGCAATTATAAATCTTCCTAGGAAACTGCTTTTGAAGGAGCCGTTTCTTTCTTTCAGGACACTATGGAATTCATACGAAGCTTTCAGTCGGAAGCCCCGCTGAAGAGAGGTGTTGTCTCAGCCCAAGATGCTTCCCTTCAAGAGCGAGTGTTAGCTCAGGTAGATGCTGCTGTCCTGAAGGGGCCCCAGGATATTGGTCAGCTCCTAACTGGAGACTCAAGATTGGAAATGTATTTCTCTCTTCATTTAACCAGGGAAAATGGGTTTCAGTGAAAACTCCTGTTCTCTCTTATTCTAAATGTAAGATGTGCACACAGTATGCATGTACTACTAAGTTGTAGCCTCACCTTTTAAGTGCAGACATGATTTTCTCCTTTCACACTTAGTTGCGAGCTGCCCTGTATGGTATTCATGACATCTTCTTTGTAATGGACGCAGCTGAGAGAATGTCAATCCTCCATCATGATCGAGAAGCCCGGAAAGAGAAACTGCTCCGGCAGATGGTATGGATGCCATGCGCCTTTCTGATGGAGGGGCTTTTCGGAGCTCCGGTAAGGGAGGCTCCATGTCATTCCCGATAGCCAGATGATCCTCAGGATCCCATCACCACCGAGCTCTGTGATGAGCTCCGTAGGAACCACAGTAAAGAACCCTTTACTGCACTGGGATTGGATTTGAGGACTAAGCCTTGACCATTTTGTTCTGGTAGCTCACAGAAGGCTGTTAGCTGCTCATGATTGAGCTTTCTTAGCACATTCATATAGATTTGTATCATTATTGAAATGTGAAAAGTGATTCCAAATAATTCAAAACACTGCATATCAAGAGTGCTGACTGAGTAGAGGCCAGCCTGGTCTACAAAGTGAGTTCCAGGACAGCCAGGCCTACACACAGAAAGCCTGTCTGGAAAAACAAAACAAAACCCAAACCAAACCAAAACAACCAACCAAACAAACAAACCAAAAAACTCCTCAAAAACAAAACCCAAAACAAAAAAAGAGCACTGTCTGGCAACCACACACAAAAGTATAACTAGAAATACTAATTTTAAGTGTCTAAAGTCAACCAGGCAGTGGAGGCACACACCTTTAGTCCCAGCACTCAGGAGGCAGAGGCAGGCGAATTTCTGAGTTTGAGGTCAGCTTAATACAGTGTTTTAACATAGTGCTACTGGCACTAGTCAGGCTGATGTTTCTTTTGTACTTGAAGGATAAAATGAAAAGTCCACGAGTGGCACTTTCAGCGGCAACACAGAAGTCTCTCGACAGGAAGAAGTTCATGAAGTAAGTTTTGTTTATCACTTTATTATCAGCCAGTTACCGTTAGTTGTCAGCTGGCCTGTTCATGTTCCAGTAAGACATAAACAGGGGCTGGAGAGATGGTTCAGTGGGTAAGAGTGCTGGCTGCTCTTGTTCCCAGCACCCACAACTGTCAAACTCCATTCCCTGGGGCTATGATATCCTCTCCTGGTCTCCACAAGTACTGCTTGCATGTGTTACATGCATACAGGCAGTACTCATGCATAAAGTTAAAAAAAATTAAATTAGAAGTATCAATTTGCTTTTCTGCGGTTAAACTGATAGAAATCCCTCCTTTTTTAAATATAATTTTTTTTCATTGATTCTTTGGGAATTTCACATCAGGCACACTAATCCCACTCATTTCCCAGTCCTTCCATATCCGCCCCCCATATTTTTTTTGTTTTGTTTAGTTTTGTTTTGTTTTTCGAGACAGGGTTTCTCTGTGGCTTTGGAGGCTGTCCTGGAACTCACTTTGTAGACCAGGCTGGCCTCGAACTCACAGAGATCCGCCTGCCTCTGCCTCCCGAGTGCTGGGATTAAAGGCGTGCGCCACCACCGCCCGGCCTCCACCCTCCATTCTTATAACCTCCCCTGCAAATAAAATCAAAAAGAGAAGAAAACAGAGTCTCACCGACCCTCTGGGTAACGACCTGCTTCTCCGTCAATAACAACCGTCTCACACTAGTCACAACCATCTCTGTCTCCAGTTCCGCCTTACTTGTAGCACTCCGCTCCTCTTCTGTGGCCTTGGCAGCTGTGCTTGGGAGCTGCTGTGTGTCATGCAGTATACCCTTTTGCCCAGATAGCCTTACTTGCAAGTGTTCATTGCAGTGAGTTGTTAGTAGTTCAAGGCCCCTGGCTTCTGGCACACCATCAGTACTGGATCCTCACTGAGACTGCTCTCGGATATTCTGCTGTTGCCCTGACTCAAGAAGATCCTGTGGCTATGTTTCCACAGGAGTGGCCCCTTCGTGCGCTCCAGCAGGTCACAGATGGGTTGGGGCCAACTCAAGGCCCTAGACATGGGCCTGGGTGGTAGCTGAGTTGGTCAGTCCAGGTCTCCGCTGCTCCCACTCCCTCTCCCTCCCCCCAGGCAAGTGAGTGGTGGGGCCAGCTCTCCTTAGCTCCCGCCCTCTCTTTTTTTAAGACAGGATTTCACTATGTAGCTTTTACTGGCCTGGAACATACAATGTTCCTAAATTGGGATTAAAAATGTCTACCACCATCCTGGGCAGAAATCCCCCTTTTGATATAGTGAGTCATAAAATCCATGGTAAAATGCTGATTTATCTTTTGATAAAATGTAAATTGTCAGCATTCAACTTGTATAACTGATAGCCAGTCAGTCTCAATACTTAGTCCTTATATTTAATTTTTTCACTATTTAAATAACTGAAAGAGATTCTGGGGCAAAAGTTCAAGAGGAAGTAAATTCTAGTAACTATCATTCAAAAACATAAAAAAAATTGTTTTATGTATATGAGTGCCAGCATGTATGTATGTTCTCCTTGGTGTCCACAGAGGTCAGAAGAGGGCATTGGTTTCCTTGGAACTGGAGTTATAGACTGTTGTTATTGACTGTGTGGGTGCTGGGAACCGAACCCAGGTCCTCTGGAAGAGCAGCCAGTGTTTTTAATGTCTGAATTGTGTCTCCAGTTCCTAAAAACTTTTTTGTTGTTGTTGTTGAACCAAAAAGTTTTATTGGGGTTACTTACAGAAGCAAAAATAATTCAAAGATAGCTATGCCCCCAAAAGCCCACCCCAGCGGGGTTGAGGAATTGCAAAACTGAAACCCTGGAGCTTTTTGTACAACTTGTGGGTAGCTCTATGGGTGTGACAGTGTTTCTTCCATGCAACTCAGTTGGTCTGAGCTGGTCTGTCTTCCAGGCAGTTTATCTGGACTGAGACTCCCTACAAACTTTATTGAAGTTCATTTTTAATATGCTCAGCATAGGCCTTCAGCAGGCCCCTCACTTCCTAGTGCCCATCTGTCATTTATAAGTCTGTTTCCTCCCTTCTCAAATACATTGTCCTTATCTTTGTGCCAGAGTTGCTGAAATGGGAATGCCAAATAAGAAGTTTCTGCTTAAGCAAAACCCTTCAGAAACGAGGTGAGAAAAATCGCTTCATCTCCTTCAGAGGCTTTTTTTTTTTAAAGAAAATTTTATGTAGTCAGCTTGCTTTTTCAAAAAAGGTTTTGATGTGAAACCTTGCTTTACATCAGTAGGACTCTGCTGCTGAGTGGGAGAAGCTGTGGCCCAGGACTCATACTAATGTCTGGTCCTATTTCTGGACACATGTGGGTCTGATCAGAGGTTCCTGGCACTGTTTGTAGGCCAGGCCATTCCTGGAAGAAATTTCAGACTAGCAGAAAATCTTTGGAACTTGGTTGAAAACCTTAGGACATTGATTTAGTACACTCACATTTCCCCTTTTGTAAAACGAGCGTGCTATCATGTTTGAGAAGTTTGTTTTGTACGGTATACCAATAAATTCTCTAAAAGCTCAGGGGTTGCATGTGTTGGACATGACTTTCCTGAGGTCTGAGCTCCCAGTGAGTGAAATGTAAATCCCTTATTAACATGCTTTATTCAGTTGCCTTGTGACACACGGGCCATGACGCTGCATAGAGGGCTTCTAGCCTCACCATTGTCATCTTCCACCCATTGAAAAAAAGTGGGACAAATGGAACTTGTCTTTTGGAATTAATTTTGCATTTAATTTGTCAACAGAGTCCTTCAGCCAAGCCAAGGACAGAATGCACCTGTTCATAGGCTACTTAGTAGACAAGGGTAAGAATACCACACATGGGGATTTGAAAATGCTCAAGCCAAGATGAGTTGAGATGGAAAAGTAATTATACTGTTGTCTTCAGTATGAGATCTCCTACTGTATGTGCTATAGTGCTTAGTGTCAAGATCTGATTTTGTGTGCAGACTGCCCTCTTGCTGCACGTCTATATAATGTATCTTAATTATCGTTTGATATTGGCATGCTTTTACTTATCATTTCATACCATTTTACCCATTATATGTTTTAATACAAGCTTGTTCATCAAGTAAGTTTAGCCTCACCCAATGATTCTCCAACCAAGTGTGAAGCAGGAGTCTTCTCTCCCGCTAAAACATGAGTGCAGCTGTCCTGTTTGCTGCATGGGGGGGTCTTCAGTTCTTCTCAACTTCCTTATGCCTTGAGTAGCTGATGCTGGGTGGTTGTTATCTCTGACGTTCAGACCTTCATGCAAGTGACTCATTAACCTTTTTATATTCAACTAGAACCCCTAAGACATCAGTGAAGGGGGTTGTGCAAAATAGACAGAAGCCTTCACAGAGCAGAGTGCCTAACAGAGCGCCTGTGTCAGGTGTGTAGCAATGACTTCCCAGAGCCCATTCAACCAGGGGTGTGCACACTGCCCCATGACTCAGGCTTCACAGTGGGACATGCAATGCAGTCTTCCTTGCTACCATAATGTTGGCATATTCGTGGACATTCCTAATGGTGACCTTTGGCTTAGTATTTTGTGGCAGCCAGAAAATCCTATGAGCTAGACTGCCTGTCTTAATGACTAATGATTTTACAGAAAACACTTTTAATTTGGAAAGTTTTGTAGAATTATCTAAGCTTACTCAACCTTTTTATAGATGAGAAGAAATGATCATCTCATGTCTGAGGTGGATCTGTTGAGCCTTGTGGCAGTGTGTCAGCCAGGGTTTCTGAGTCTGCATGTGACCACAAGATCCACAGTGAATATGCCAGGTGTGTGGAGGGGTCTCAAGCTTTCCCTCTGTAAGAAGCCTGAGCCAGATATCTTTATACTCATCATGTGAGCATTACTCAAGGGTGAAACAAAAACATGTTCTAAAATTCAGTTTATGGTAGCAAAAAAGGCAGATTTAGTGGAGCTAATCCAAAACTCTTACTAAATGCTTTAATATTTATTGGTGTTTTGGTTAAGACATTTTGATTATTCTCACTGGATCGTGCAGCTCATTAAAAACTATGCTTTGCTATGCTCTGCTTTAACTGCTGCTTTCTGACACTCACAGATAGCCGTGTTAATCCCCAAACCATGCAGGAAAGCTTGAGTTCAATCTGATCTCCCCACCAATAGCAATTAGGCACAATTTATGATTACATCATTGAGGGTTTTCCTCCAAGATAGATGAGAAGGAGCAGTATTATACCAAGTGATTTTGTTACCACCTGTTGTTCACATAGATTCCAAGAGAGAACAAGCTGTGAGATGATTGCAGACCTTCTGCACGAGTGCCCTGGACAGAATTCATAATGTCACACGTAGCTAGGATACTTTACAAGATCCTCTTAAGTCACTGAGTGACAGTCATTGGAGTTGTTTGGAAGTTACCTGGTGGGAGAGCCCGCTTGCTTTAGAGGCAGTCAGTTCGCTGGCTTTGTAGGAACCCAGCCCAAGCAGCAGCTCTGTTACTTGTGACTTTATGTGAAGTGTTAGGATGCTTTCATTTCTTTTCATGTTACTGTTACAGACTGCGGTAACTCAGGCGGCTGGAAAATCATTGCGGAGTAAGAAATGTTTTGCCCAATAGCATCAGTTTGCCACAGTGACCACTTTTCATGTTTTGTTCTCATTCATTTCATCTCCATGATTTGTCACTTGTGAGTCTATAAACAAGGAAACAGGTGCTCTTTCCACTGAGCAATTGGCACTATAAGGGATGAACAGGCAATTGCTGTAGTTAATAATGTGTAACAAAGCTCAGTTTTTATAGCTATTGAAGTTTAATTGCATTGCAGTATAGTTAGTAATATAATCAATATGTACAATTTCTATGTTTTTAAACAAGTAAAAATGCCTTGTTTTTCTAACATTTTATTTACATGTCTGTATAGACAATGAAAGTACATAATTCTCAATTTCATCTTTGTAAGTTTTACATAAATTCAGAATTTGACATACTGACTAAAATGCTAGTTATGAATTTATTATTGCTCTTAAAAGAATTATTTTAGCTGGGTGTTGGTGGCGCATGCCTTTAATCCCACCTTTAAATCAGGAGGCAGGCACTTGGGAGGCAGAGGCAGGTGGATCTCTGTGAGTTCGAGACCAGCCTGGTTTACAAAAGCTAGTTCTGGGACAGTCTCCAAAGCCACAGAGAAACCCTGTCTTGAAAAACCAAAAAAAAAAAAAAAAAAAAAAAAAAAAGATTTTATCCTGGCAGATTTCTAATGTCGTGGTTTATGTTTTGAATAATTTACATTTGGTCTATATGAACATTAAATCCTTTATTAATAATCGATTTATAGAAAACTCATTTGTTTTGTATTCGAGAGAGTCTCACTTCTAGCGCAGGCTGACTTTGAACTTAGGATCTTCCTGACACAGCCTCATTCACCAAGATTGTAGCTACCACACCCAGTTCTAAACACTCGCTTTTTGTGCAGTCGTGTATTGTTCCAAATGCTGGTTTTTGTTACATTCGTATGGTGTACTCTTAGGCTGAGGCTGGATTTTCAAGTGCCTAGGGATTCTGCATAGCATCTGAAGTTAGAGTTTCTACAAATTAAATTTTGGTCTCTGAGCCTGTGTTGAAAGTTGATTTCCTCATTGGTGTTGTGTGTGTGAGTGGATGTGCAGTGGATCTGGAAACCGCTGGCCACAGCAGAGTAGGAACTGGTGAAACAACACAGGAAGGGGGGGACAGGTCAGCAGAGTTCTCAGTTCCCATTGCAGTGTTAGCTGAGGCAGCAGATTGCTGACACTCTAATGTCCTTAAAATGAGAGTAACACTTTTCTCCTCAGGACTAAGTTTAACAACATATATTGCTTAGCTCCATGCCTGGTAACTTACTAACTTGTAGCATAGAAAATTTGTAGCCTTGAGAAATAATATTAATTTTGCTCTATTTTTAGGAGCATATGCAGGAAAAATCCAAAGAAAGCGGCCAAATGTTGCGACAATTTAAGAAGACAGCATTCACTGGGATGAAGCAGGGGAGGAGGGCGTGTTGTTACCCACATTCATTCCCTGGCCAGGACTTTTGTTTTAGCCTTGGACTATGTTTATCCAGGCAAAGGGACAGCAAGGGCTGAGCATTGTATGTGTTTAATTTGGTCAGTTTGGAGAATTCCTGCCTCATTTTCCTATTAATGTTAGTTTGAGTGAAGATGATTAGCATTTAGTGATTGCCTCGTCTCTGAGCTTAGCATATATAAACATACTGTATGTACTCAGAGGTCTACAGTAACCCTTTTTTATAAACATAAAAAGAAATTTGGACTTATTTTTACAGAGTGTTGAAAAGATACCATCAATTGTAAATTATCCCTAAAACCTAAACTTTATTCATGACTATATACTGATTGCTGAATTTGATAAACAAATTAGATACTATTCTATTCAAAAGGAAATTATTGCAGAAGTATATGTTTTTCTAATTTTAAACACCCAAGATTCCATCTCCTTTGACTTGCAGTATAGCTATATAGGATGAAACATTTGGCACAGTAAATCCCAAACAAGAAGTGGCTGGGGGTCATGGTTTTGGGTAGAAGAACATTTCTGTGGATAACTAGTTGTTTTACAGAAATGTTAGGTTTCATGTATGTTACTATTATGTATAGGTAGACTAATAAGGTCTTTCTTGGAAGGTGGCAAGTTTAGAAAAGACAGCACAATCTTTATGAATATAGCACCCGGGAATGCATTGTGAAAATAAGGACAGCAGATTGCATGCAGTTACTTCTATTTCATCTGTATAATTTATTCTTTTTCCAGCATGCTTTAATTAGGAGAGAATAAAGGGCTATTTAATAAGAAATCAGGTAGATACATAGTAATACTGTCTAGTTTAAAACTTGCAATAAAGGCACCGAGACTTATGGCTTTCATGACTAACATGTTCATTAAATGCATCAACCAACAGTATACCAAGAGAATATGATTTTATGAAAGAGAATGTTACTTTTCATATAATTCTAAAAAGGGCTTTGTGCTTCTTACGTAACATTGGAATTGTGTATATTTGATCCTTACAACTTGAATTTTAAAGATAGTAGTATTTTGAGGATGCAGCCTATATGTATTCTTAATAACCTTTTAGGAATATGGAGATAAAGATTGTTTTTCTGATTTCCTTCCATCTGAGATTGACTTTTATACCCAGCCATAGTTACAAGGAATAACTCACTCTGGGTATAAACTTGGTTTTCTTTATTGAGACTTAACCATTTATTGAATAGAAGAAGACAGTCAAAAAAAAAAAAAAGTCCAGGTTATTGCCAGGTGGTGGTGGCATACACTTTTAATCCCAGCACTTGGGAGGTAGAGGAAGGCAGATCTCTGAGTCTGAGGCCAGCCTGGTCTACATATTGAATTCCTGGATAGTCAGGGCTACACAGAAAAACCCTATCTTGAAATAACAAAAAAACTAACAAAAGTCCACATTACAAATGTTTTACTTGTAGGAAAGGTATACCGAGTTATTACCTTTCAAATGTGATAAACTGTGCTTCATTGTTCCAGACACTCAGGACACTTACTTGTATCATTGTGGCCTCTTCAGTAAGAAGAGGAGCTGTGTGTATTACTATGAATTAGCTAAAGAACAGTGCATTTGGAAAGCTACAACTACTTTTAGATTAAGGATGAGGAACTGGAGTGTGTTTTTATTTTTTTTGGTTTTTCGAGACAGGGTTTCTCTGTGTCTTTGGAGGCTGTCCTGGAACTAGCTCTTGTAGACCAGGCTGGCCTCGAACTCACAGAGATCCACCTGCCTCTGCCTCCCATGGAGTGTGTTTTTAATTTCAAGGTAAAAGTTTGTCTGTTTTACTTTTGGATGTTCACAATTTTCTCTCAGAAAAGTGCCAGGCACTGTTTTGGGCTTTTGAAATTTTATTTATATGTGTTATGTTTATTGTTATTTTTACTTTGACTGGAATGTCTATTAATGTAAAGTGTATTTATTTTTATACTTTGATTTTCACTAGTCTTGCTTCTAGGTAAAAGGCAAAATAAACTTTTCATCCTAAAGGAAATCTTGTTGGATCTTTTTATTTTTAACTAAGGGAAGACGTCTGGGGACTAGATGCTGAGGAATATGTGCCAAAACAGCATCTGGGATGATAGTGTTTACAACGTAAGCCTGATGATTGGATGCCTGTTGTTTAACAGGTAGCCTGTCCTGCTGATACATTTGAATAATGTCTTTGCTTCTTAGGAGCTAGACACCTGCCAAGAGCCATGGAGAGACAGGAGGGAGGGAATGCTTAGATGGACTCTCATAGTGATGCCTTTGCCTTTCACATTAAGAGCTCTAATGTTACCCCAATAACTAGTTGTCCCCTCTTGCTGAGATGTTCAGTGTTCACACACCTCTGATCACTCTAGCTCACATTATCTTCATGTTCCCAGCAGTGTTGGAAATGCCTGGAAATGACTGATGCTACAATGTACTAAATTATACGAATGAAGGGACTGTTTCCATCAGAGGTCACTGTCCCATGAGCAACCTCCAGTCTAAACTTAACCCAATGAAAACAGTTATAAAAATAAGCAGTGTTGCTACTGTTGGGAGAGTGCTTGTTTAGTCAGGGTTACTATGCTGCAAGGAAACACCATGACCCAAAAGCAAATTGGGGAGGAAAGGCTTTATTCGGCTTACAATTCAGTATCATTGATCATCATCCAAGGAAGTCAGGACAGAAACTCAAACAGGACAGGAACCTGGGGGCAGGAGCTGATGCAGAGGCCATGGAGGGGTGCTGCTTACTAGCTTGCTCATCATGGCTTGCTCAGCCTGCTTTCTTATGGAACCCAGGACCACCAGCCCAGGGATGGCACCTCCCACAATGAGCCAGATCCTCTCTAATCAATCACTAATTAAGAAAATGCCTTATAGCTGGATCTTGGTTGGTTGGTTGGTTGGTTGGTTTTTCCAGACAGGATTTTTCTGTGAAATAGTCCTGGTTGTTCTGGAACTCACTCTGTAGACCAGGTTGGCCTTGAACTCATAGTTGAATATCATGGAAGCATTTTCTCTATTGAGGTTCCCCCCTTTCAGATAACTGTAGCTTGTGTTAAGTTGACATAAGACCAGCCAGCACATCTAATATGCACTAATCCCCAGGTTGCACCCCCAACACCACATAAACCATGTAACATCAAGTTCCAAAACCTTGAAAAACACCTTGGGACAGAATGCAGTGCAATCTCTTCTTTGGTCACTGTAACAAGGGTAAGAATTGTGTCAGACCTGTCATATGTCAGTTAAAAATCATCTTAGAACTGGAGATATGAAATGCCAAAAGTTAAGAGCATTGGTCTTCTTCCAGAACCCAGGTGGATTCCCAGCACCCACTTGGTGGCCTCACAATTGTCCAACTCCAGTCCCGGGGATCCTATATCCTCTTCTGGCCTCTATAGGCACCAGATACACGTGGTGCAGAGACACACATGCAGGAAAAACACCCATAAATATTAAGAACCAGAATCTGATCTGGGAGCTATCTAAGTAGGTAAAGTGCTTGCTGTACAAGCATGAAGACTCCCTAGCACCTACATAAAAGTCTGGCAAATAGGCTGTGCATCTGCAACCCTAGCACCTGTGTGTGTGTGTGTGTGTGTGTGTGTGTGTGTGTGTGTGTGTGTGTGTGAGGGTCAGGTGTTGACAGGCAGATGCCTAGAGCTTGGTGGTCAGCCAAGCAGTTACACAGCTCCAGATTCTATAAGAGAGAAACCTTGTCTCAAAACATAAGTTGGAGAGCAATAGAGGAAAATACCAGATCTAGATCTCCGGAGCAATTGCATCTGCACATATGTGTACACAGGCACACACACACACACACAATTAGAAGCTGAGTGCAGCAGTTCATGTCAATAATCCCAGCACCCAGGGCTGGAGAATGAGACCAGTTTCAACAACAATGCAAACAAACTAAGTAAATAATAAAATGTTCCCTTTTACAACTCGGCTCTCTTCAGTGTTTCTCCATGGCCCTCAATTCTCCAGATTCTTTAAAAAAATTTTTTAGATTTATTTATTTGATATGTACAAGTGTTTTACCTATGTGTTTGTCTCTGACCACATGCAGTTGGTGCATGTGTTGGCCAGAAGAGGGCATCAGATCTCTTGGGTCTGGAGTTAACAGTTAGTTGTGGGTGCTGGGAATACAGTCTGAGTCCTCTGGATGAGCAACCTTTAGATGAGGCATTTCTCCAGCCCAGACTCCGGAGTTTCTGGACCGAGGTTGACAGCTGGCACTACAGAGAGAAAGGCTCTGAGAACAAAGGCTGACTTTTGCCTGTCATTAGCCATGACTTCGGAGAGGCGACTGAGACAGGGACCTCACGGTAACCTCTTTTCACCTTGCCATCACAGTTACCTCAAGTTCACAGCCCAAGAATCTGGGACTCTGCAAACCTCAGTCCTCGTTGTCTTTTCCAGAACTCATAAGATGGTGTTCCTTCAGGAAATGCCCTTGGAAGTAGAACCAGGAAGATATGAGCAGACACTGGTAATTTTCCAAGTCTAAACCCATTTGAGTTATAGTTAGACTTAGCTGAGAATCCCAGCACTTACTAGCTTTGAGCTCCAGTTTTTCAAGACTAAGTGATTAATGACAGATACCCCAGAGGTGTCTATTAAGAAGGGAGTCTGCAAAGTGTTTACTACAGTTATTTGTTACAATATCGTAATTCATAAAAAAAAGGAAACACAAAATAGGATCCCCAAAGTTCTCTGGTCAAGCTTGCTTGCTTATTTTCGTACGCATGTTGTCAGCTGTTGGAAAAGTATGCCCAAAGTTCTTCACCTCACAAAGCACGGGGAGAATCCAAGCCAAACAGTTAATTCACTTGGGAATTTCTTATGGTCTGAACCTCAGCAGGGATGGATGTATACACACTTACCTGTCACTAGGGGGCGCAGGCGGGCCAAGCAGCCCGCTGCAATCACAATCGTGCCTCTTAGAGGGCCCTAGCGGGTCAGTGGGACGGCTGCTGAGAGTGTAGTGGCATCTACATGCCAAACCTGATAACCTGAGTTCGAGTGAAAGAAGGACCAAAACCTGACTGTTAAACCCTGATCTCCAAAGTGCACCGTGGCACATCTATGCACTCATAAATGTGATTTAAACGAGGCGTGGTGATGCAGGCCTTTAACGCCAGCATTCGGGAGGTAGAGACAAGTGGAGCCCTAGTAACAAGATAAAACACCAAAACAAATCAAGCGGGATGACGGAGCTAGGATTTGCGGGGGTGGCGGGACGACGACAACGGTAACTGCCCTTCCCAAACGCAGATGTCCCGAACCCGGAAGAAGTTGCCCATCACAAATATGGCGGATGACAGAGGTCAGGATCTTCAGAGCGGGAATTGCCCTTCACAATCATGGCGTCCAGGGCGGGGCCGAGCTTCTCGGGACAGGAGAAAAGGGGCTGGCCGCCGAGAACAAGCGGTCATGTGACTGCGAAGATGGCTGTCTTTCCCTGGTAAGGAAGAGCCGGCGAGTGGGATTCGGGGAGGGGCGGCCTTAGCGGGTCTCTGCGTGGGTGGGCAGCCATTCCTGTTGGAGTGGATGGTCTCCATCCCAGCTCCGGCTGTCAGGACTACGGAAAAGCAAGACAGTCCATTGCTCCTCCCCGAGATTCCTCAGCCCTTCACTCAAAGCCTGTTCGGTCCAAGGCTTCCGCCTCCCTGAGAGAAGTTGGCACGTCCTGGGAATTTAGGAGAAGGGGATGAACCCGCTCCGAGTCTGTCCCCGGGAGACCTGGTCGTTTGTTCCCTGAGCTCCTCAGCTCACCTAAAGAAGAGTAAAGCGGGGGAATTCACACCAGTATGTGCAGAACCCTAGGACGCTTCGGAGCGGTCAGTATAGCTGAACACTGAAGAGAGGGGTGGCCTTCCAAAGGTGGGAGCAGTCAGTCAACCCCGCTGGCAGCCTGGGAGGACCACACAGAAGAGCCTTCAGCAGGGTCTTGCAGGATGAATAGGAATTCACCAAGCAGGAAGGAATAGTGTGTGCCAACGTGAATGTCACATGGGGCTTTTTGTGCTTACAAGTGAGGTGACCTTCAGGTAGAGGCAGATTTGTGTCAATAAAGAACCCACACGAGCCGGGCGGTGGTGGCGCACGCCTTTAATCCCAGCACTCGGGAGGCAGAGGCAGGCGGATCTCTGTGAGTTTGAGGCCAGCCTGGTCTACCAAGCGAGCTCCAGGACAGCCTCCAAAACAATACAGAGAAACCCTGTCTTGAAAAAAAACAAAACAAACAAAACAAAACAACAAAAAAAAAGAACCCACACGAGATATGCACAGATGAAGTGAGGTCGGGGTTGGAGACCTTGTATCTCAGGGGCTCGTTTTCTGGCTTTTCTCTTCAGATGATGGCCGGTAGCTTGCAATGCTTGAGTATGGGCATGAAAGAAAGTGGCAGCCCTAGGCCTTGAACCCGCTCAACATCAACCTTGTGACTTTATGTCTGCCCTACCCATGACCTCATTCCCTCTTGCAGACTCTTAAGAGACCATTTCAGGACACAGCACTGCAGTGTGGATGCTGTGGAACTCTTAGCTCATACCCTGGCCTTCTGTCACTGCTCATGCTGATTTGGCCAAAAGACCCTTTTGAGAATAGAGGTCAACAAGTGAGAAACATCTCGTTTCAGTGAACTCCCCTGGAATGTGTAATGAAAGACTTTGGTCTTACCTGTGGTATTTTTCTTTAAGTTTATTTTTAAATTTACATGTTACTCCCAGCCCTCCCTCCCCTCATCCCACTCCCTCCACCTTCCTGTTACCCTACCCCCATCTGCTCCTCTGAGAGGGTACAGTCTCCTGTGGGGAGTCAACCAAAGTCAACCATGCTGAGACCTGACCAAGGCCCCTCCCCACTGTGACTGGACTGAGTAGGAGTGAATCTTCCTCCCTTCCCTCCTTCCTTCCTTCCTTCCTTCCTCCCTCCCTCCCTCCCTCCCTCCCTCCCTCCCTCCCTCCCTCCCTCCCTCCCTTCCTTCCTTCCTTCCTTCCCTCCCTCTCT